GATTATCTGAGATAAATCAGAATTAATTTAATAAATGATTTGCCTGGAGTTCTAACCTGGAAAACTACTTTGGTAGTGTTAAAGAATTTGGATTTCCTGGCTAGGATCATTCAGAAGTAAGGAAGAGTGTATTAGAAGAGGAAAAGGCATTAAAAGGTAAATTTTAGTAGTTGAAAAACATGACCACCAGGCACAGAAAGATTGTTACTCGGCAGAAACCAAGTGTCTTCAACATAATACTGCTTCTAGAGACCATCACTTTGGAATTAGTTTAGTTATACAGTATTTTTCCCTATAATTTTTCTTGTCTTAATGCAATTTTATCCTTACAGGCCCACAGTTCCTTGCCAGTAATTCCAAAATCCAAAATTCTTGAAAAACAAGTTTTTCATAATTTGGTGACAGCCTGATTTGATATGGTATGAGGCTTTTTTTAGTGTTTATCCCAATTGTGAATATTTAACTACAGAAACATTAATGTTTGATTAATGTTACAAGAACTGTCTTAGACTTTATGGGTATTACATGACATATGCACCACATTTCTGTAGTCTGAAAGTTCAAAAGCAAATTGACCCTAAGATTCCGAAAATGACACTGTATACTTGAGTCAATGAGGCTAAATCTCCTCATGCAGAAAAATATGATTAGTGCTGAGAATGAATGTAAATATTCATATAAATTCAATATCTCAAAAGCTCATCTAAATAAGTAGTATATTTTATTTTTGCTTTTTAAAGTTCCTTTATATATTATCTTTGAGTCAGATTTGCACAAAAATGTCATTTTTCTAATTGAATTAATATCTGTTTTGAAAAACTTTCATAAGTGAAAAGAAAAAGATCAGCAGAATTTAAAGGGTTTATATTTTCCTTTAGTTCCTTTAACATCAAAATAAGCAGACTTCATAATATACAATGTATAATTATTCCATGAAATGAAAGGCAGCTTACCTCTTCTTCACCCAAATTATGTTCATCCAATGGCTGAAGAACAACCATCCTCCAGCTGTTGAAGATACAAATCAATTTCAAACAGTTTTTATTAATCTGTTTAAATGTGGTGATTTTATTCTTTAAGCACAGCTAAATGTATGAGGGTTTTCTTTCCTTGGGACTTCCATAATTCAAAAGGTTGTATTTTAATACTTTATTTTTTTAAAGAGAAAAAATATTTGTATTACGTAAACAGGACAAGGAGAAGATAAAGCTTTATTTTTGGCCTTACAGTGAGCAGTCTGTTCTACATAGCTGCATTTTCTACATAATACATATGTATC